GTTTCACAAAAATGACCAAGTATTAATTCTCCCCTAGGAGTTGACACGGGTCTCATGTTAACTAGGCACAAAATTGACTTGGCCCTACATAGAACGAGTCAAATAACGTCATTACTCGACTCTTCCTAATAAGGTCCTAGTTGAAAGGCGTCTTCACCCGGACCCTACTATTAAGGTCGACTCCACGCCTTTTCATTTTGTGAGACCAAGTCGAAAAGCCCTCAATCCAAATTGGTTGAATTGAAATATATCTTTTATTGACCCTCTTGCATAGCCGAGACGAAATGTAGTCATTCTTAAAACCCACGCCAACAACTGATCACCATCACGTTAAATGCATGGTTGGAGTCATCATTACTTCGAACCCAAAAGTCTTAAAGACTCATTTGACCTCGTTAGCACCTTACTTTCCCTATCACCATCATATTATTCACAAAGATGACTCATACCATCCGCAGCTGACCCTTGTAAAGTATCAACCGAATAAGCTGACTTCTTAGATTCAATCGAAGTTACAAAATTACCCCCTAAGATTTGCTATAAATAAGTGCACTGCCTACTGTATGGAGTTGCAATCTTTTGCAATATAACGCACTATAATTGCATTTTTTTTCCTCCACGTAAGATCAATACTAATGTGACCATCCGAAGAACACCCAGAGGACCCAACTCTGATCCTCTTACATATTGTTTGTGTGCAGGATCAAATCCCCTATTCAAAAATCAACCATCATAGAAGATTGAGGAATTCTAAAACTCTTCATAATCCACACTAAATTTTCCTATTTGATATTTGACATCAACAGATTGGTGCCCACCGTGAGGCTCCTTTTTCTTCTTTATACAAGATGGTTGATTCTAATCATTTAGACCGATCATCAATTCATCCTATTAAATAAATACATAATGCGGGCTACGTCGCTCGCCAAATTGGAGGAATCTGCATGAAGAATTTCTCAATCTCATTAGCAACAGTTCGCTTCCGTCAAAAACGAACTCCTCGACTGGACTCCTACCCAGCAACCTTCTCCATCATTCGTCGCTCCTCCCCTTGCAGGCTAATTTGAACAATGAACACTAGATGAACACACTGAATACACCTCTCCTTTGCCTGACCAACAAACTTGTTTCTCCATTCATCCTTGTAGGCGTCAAAATTTACCTATAGGTCCCCGCACGTGGCTCGAGACAGAGAGAAGACGATGAATGTTGCTATTTGAGTCACAAAAGCTCATGTGACGACGACAAATACATAAAATGAGTCGACGGACCATACGAAGCAATAGAACTTCGAAATATTGAAAACACAAACTGATCGGGAGCCTCGTACCGCTTACGAAAGGCGAAGCGCCCCTCGTATCTCATTTATTCCACATATGATTCAATCATGGACGCTTGTAGATCTCCTCATTAGCCTTCCAACGCATCTTGAACCACATAATTCTGAGTTTGGACGATGAAGATACGACGAAAACGGACAGAACGCGCGAATCGAAGTTCAGGCCAAAGTTGGCCAAGACACCAAATGGTGTCTCGGCCAAAGCTTGCCCGAGACACCAAGTGGTATCTCGACCAAGACTTGGCCGAGACACCAAGAGGTGTCTTGACCAATGCTTGACCAAGACACCCATGAGTGTCTCGGCCAAGACTTGGCCGAGACACCAAGAGGTGTCTCGGTCAAGTCTTCGCCGAGACACTTGGCCGAGACACCAAGAGGTGTCTCGGTCAAGTCTTCGCCGAGACACCAAGAGGTGTCTCGGCCCAAGCTTGACCGAGACACCCACGGGCGTCCGCAGACTCGAAAAACTAAATTTTGGCAGTTTAAACCTGTTTTTTGATCGTTAACCGTCTGAATTTGTTTCAACTGATAGAATATCATCCAAGAACGTGGTTAAGTGGTTATAACTAAAGATAAGAGTGAATCGATTGTTCTTATCCGAACACTGGGCTCCTGAAGCCTATAAATACAGCCCCAAGGCCTTTATTTTTTGGATATCTAGAATTCTCGAGTGTTGGCGAAGCCCTGCTAAATTGAGAACTGAAGAGCCACGAATTTCAGAGAGGAGGAGACTTCAGCGAATTCTTCAGCATAAAGAAGAGAAGTTCTTCAGATTTGTAGCCTGGTTCTTTGCCTTGAGATTGCCCCATTACGGTGATCTCGAGAAGAGTGATTATCTCGCTGTTACCGAGATAATTGCTTTAGTTTCTTGATTCATTCGCGAATCAACAAAACTCCGGATCTGATCTGATAGTTTGGTGGTCCATGGATATCAACATCCCCGTCACAGGCCAAGATCCCACGCAAGCAGCGGGTGATAAACACTCGTTACGTTGTTTGACAAGAGTTATTCTTTTTTTTGTTTTTATTGTGTAAAGGTCTTATAAAAAGACTAACTTTTGTTTTCATTGTAACGTTTGAAATTGTAATGACTACATCAATGAACAAATTGACTTTCTCCCCAAACAAGCTGGCGACCATAGTGGGAGCCAACCGTCTCGTCAACTAGCCTGTCATTTCGCAGCCGACGATCAAGATCCTCATGGCTGAAGAGGTCGAATACGAGTTCAACCAACAGAAGTTCGAGGAGTACGTCTCCTCCTCCTCCTCCAGATCCGGCTCTCCCCGCAAGTGTAGGAAGGTCTCCTCCGTCTGAAAGATCCGCTGGTCTTCAGATCTGAAGACTCAAGAAGGTGAATTCCCCACTACCATTGCTACAGCTGCACGTCATAATGATCTGCCGATGTCCAAACATGTGACTCCTACTAAAGTAATAAAGCACTACCTATTCAGAAGAAGACGCGTCGAACAAACAACAACGGTACACCTGAGGAATCAAACCAACATCCGATAGGTTGCTCTAACCGCAACATCGATGAGTTGTACTATCGGGCTGGGGGTACGAATAAATCTCGAAAGAAAAGTCCCTAGGAAGCAGACTCTCACTGTCCGTGTACCAAACTTATAAGGATAGTATTATCAGCATGTAGCTACCCCAAGACCACTTCGCAAAGGGTCTCGGTATTTGAAAGGATCTTTACCAGAACGTCCAAATCCAAGCCAAGGCGTTTCTATAGAAAAAGATCAACTGCGTAAGATGATAAACTCCCAAAGGTCACCATCAATATGGTCGATAAGGAGAAGTCAACGCGAAGTTTCAATCCTCGACATTTTTTGGACATATCCCAACGTATAACTCGGTTATGCGTGGGAACTACTAGGCGTAGGGACTATCAGAGGATGAATAGCGGATTATCCTCGGATGATGAAGCATCAGATGTGAACTCTGCCATAGCTTCTGACAATACGGTTTCCAGCATAGGACAATCCCGTGAGGCGTTTATGGTCAATACCGAGCAAATGACAAAAATCATCGAGGACGCTTTGGCTAAGTAAAAAGAGAACTTTAAGTTCGAATTGGAAATGGCCACGATACGGATGAAGGAAGAGCATGACCAACA